ACACTACCAGTCAAAAGTTTTTGAACAGTAAGATTTTTAATGTTTTTTAAAGAAGTCTCTTCTGCTGACCAAGCCTGCATTTATGTGATCCAAAGTACAGCAAAAACAGTAACATTTTTAAAATATTTTTTACTAACTGTTTTCTATTTAAATCTATTTTAAAATGTAATGTATTCCTGTGATTTCAAAGCTGAATTTTTAGCATCATTACTCCAGTCACATGGTCCTTCAGAAATTATTCTAATATTCTGATTTACTGCTCAAAAACATTTATTATTATTATTTTGAAAACAGCTGAGTAGAATTTTTTCAGGTTTCTTTGATGAATAGAAAGTTCAGAAGAACAGCATTTATCTGAAATAGCAATCTTTTGTAACATTTTTGCACCAGCAAATCAGCATATTAGAAAGATTTCTGAAGGATCATGTGACACTGAAGACTGGAGTAATGATGCTGAAAATTCAGCTTTGATAACAGGAATAAATTACATTTTAAAATGTATTCAAATAGAAAGCAGTTGTTTTAATTAGTAAAAATATTTCACAATATTACTGCTTTTGCTGTATTTTGGATCAAATAAATGCAGGCTTGGTGAGCAGAAGAGAATTTTTTAAAGAACATTAAAATCTTACTGTTCAAAAACTTTTGACTAGTAGTGTATATGATCATAGAGGCTGCATTTAACATTGTGAAATATTATTACAATTTAAAATAACTGTTTTCTATTCTAATATATTTTAAAATATAATGTATTCATTAGATACTTTGGTAGTACTTATGTGGAAACCATGATCCACTGTCTTTTAAACGTTTGGGTAAATGAAATTAAAAAAGAAAAAGAAATTAATGCTTCAAAATAAATGCTGTTCGCTGAACTTTCTATTCATCAAAGAATTATGAAAAAACTCATCACAGTTTTCATAAAAACTATAAAGCAGCTAAACTTGTTTTCAACACTGACTTCTTTCAAAAACAACAACAAAAAAATCTTAAAGCATATAATATGTATTACTAATTTCCCCAGACCAACTAGAACATAAAAAACATAAATCTTTACTTCCCCCATCAGCTCTGCATGGACTTTGGAAACCCCATAAATGGTGCGAGGTCTCTGGATACAGAGGTCAGGTGCTGGGTCACAGGGAGATGAAGGGCCGAAAGCTCCTATGGTACTGGGTACAAACAGTCGCAAGCAGTTCTCCAGAGCCAGATCTAACACATTATGCAGTCCTGAAGAAAGAGGAGTGGGGGAATGAGAAGAGAAGATCGGGAAGGGGCAACAGGAGAAGGACAGAATGTGGGACGTCAGGGATAGTGGAAACCTTACGTTGTAAATTAGGTAGTCACAAACACATAAAACATGTGTGACTGAGTTTTCCCACCTGTGATATTGATGGTGCGGGCAAGAGCCAAGTTAGCTTCCCCAATAGCACTGAGTAATGCACTGTAATGCACCAGCCAGGTGATTCTGTTATTCACAACTAGTTCCCTCAGGTTTTTATAGTCCAGCACGTCAGCGTATACAAACGGACCTGTAAGGAGGATCACCCATCAGAAGCTGGAGGTTAAATGAGAGCTTTATTCATATAGGCTACTTCAGAATATAAATGAGGCTAAGTGATTGAAATATAGGTAATACTTTACCTTAAAAATAAGGTTCAATTAATTAACATTAGGAACTAATAAATTGTACAACATTTACAGCATGATTCTAAGTTACTACAGGTTAGTACATTCATGTTAATTCATAAACATTGCTCATTAATGTTCGAAATACACTGTAAAAAAAAAAATTTGAGATTTTCAGCGGCCATTACTCCAGTCTTCAGTGTCAAATTATCCTCTTTAAATTGATTTGATCAATTTAAAACATCCTTGCTCCATAAAAAAAGTATACATTTATTTTAAAAAAGAAAAAAAATTGAACAGTAGAGTATGTAGAAATGAATTGTACTAAAGGTTAATAAATTATTTTTTAAATTGTTTTTCATGTTAGCAATTTCATTAACCAATGTTACCTTATTGTTACTGAAATTTAAATATAAGAGCCACGTGATTAAAAAAACACTCCTACTGTAAACTTTAATAGCCAGTTTATGGCACCACACTGTATGTGGCTCTATATATGTTACAACTGATGCAACCACCTGCCCATATCACAGCTGTATATCTGTCTCAGTGTCAACATACCCATGCTATAAACTTCAGCGGGAGGCCTCCTAATGTCTGACAGGATGATGTTTTCCTTTCCATACTGCTTCCTGATGTAAAAGGAATTGAATATGATTACAAATCAAAAGAAACAACAGAAAAAGTTAAATGCTATTTGGTTTTTACAGAATTATAAAGAATCTACCTCAGAAGATTAAAAAAAGGTTTCATATGCACAGCAAACATCTATGCAAAGACAAGGCAAATATCCAGTCTATGCAAAGATGTAAAAACTGCGTTCTGGAGTCTGATTTCAAATTTCTCCCATGCAGCACATCTTTCAGCTGTTCACTAACCTCAGCATTTCAGCTAGTCCAACTCCAAGCTGTCCCAGGCCACCTTTAACAGGAGAACAACACTTTCAACAATGAAAGAAGCTTAAACACACATTTTACAACCAGAAACTTCACCACTCACAATGACACAACAGAGCACCAAGTAAGCTGAATAAAATCTAAATATGAGTGAAAAATGTTACTGCATTATTTTTAAAATGAAAATGCATAAACTGGAGGTCGGAGCCGAGGTACAGTAAATGCACAACAAAAGAAATCATGATACCATATAATGTGTGATCAACTCCAGTAGACCACTAAAATAGAGTTTATATTTCAATGACTATTATTAGACTGATGCATGTGGGATGGCAAATCAGTGCACATGCAAATGAAGTAGAGCGAAAAGCCCACAAAATGGCAGTTTCAAAAACAGGCCCAAGTCAAATTTAAATAAGCTCTGTGATTGTTATTGTCCAGACATTTTTCAGCTCCACTTCGACTGACAGTCCATTTACTCACTCTGTTGCACAAGCATAAAACAGCCGCGCGCTCCATTGAGCGCTTTTAACACTGTTTATTCCCGACCTATTGTCATTGCGATCAATAGGATTGTCTCTTACGAGGCTCGGAAAACAAACACAGAAGACATGATGCAACTAATACTATTTCCACCAAAACACTACAGGTTGTCACACGTTATTTAAGCAGCTGAGAAACAGAAGGCACCTGTGATGAGGACTCGAGGACTGTCCGCAGGAGGCTCGGAGGACTCGTTGCTCGGCCATCGGTTGATCTGACGCGGCGATAAACTCATGCCGCGAACCGACCAACCTCTACACAACGAGCGGACACACAACCGGAGACCTGACAGCATCTGTCAGTTAATAAACATATCAGTTAACCGAATGAACGGTTCAGAAAGAATGCATAAAAATGTTTTTTTTACTTTTTTCTTTGTAGTTTGCGCTATGACGGCCAAGTCGTTATTTCATCCTTAAAAGTTAGTTGACTGATACACGAACATTAAGTAAATCAGTAGTTCAAGAAAAAGCGCATTATCTCACCTTGAGCGTGTCAAAACTTGAAATCCGTGACGATGTGAAACACGTGTCTTGCATCAAAATCACAACATTACTGTGTGTATCCGGAGGTGGAAAATTAAGTAAGTAAATAGTACTGGTAAGTGGGATTTTCATGGTATTTAACCGTTAGAATTAAGCGATTACTGTCCGATTGGTTGTCAGAGGAGCGCATCGAATGACCATTGGATAAACAAGCTGCCGGAGCAGAGAATGCTGGGAAATGTAGTTTTATCTTTATACTAGCACGTACGGTCGCGTGAGCGCTACAAGAGGGCAAACTTGCTGACGGGCTGCCCACTCCGGATTTATATTGTGTGGGTGAGTTTAGCTGAGCTGGGGATTTACCCTGAGGACTTCATTGGCCAGTGAAATGTTATTGTTTGTGTGTGCGCGTGCGCGCTCGCAGATTCCCCTTTTTAATGACGTTTTATAGTGAAATATTAAGTATTTTAATATAATGTCAAACATGTCAAATAATTTAATATAATATAATTTCTGAATAGGAAAATTATGTTCGTAAAATGAATATACATTCTAAAATTAATTCAAAATCAAATACAACACTCTGAGTTGGACATATTTTAATATTTATTGATAATAATTTTAAAATAATTGACAGGCCCCAATGTTAGATTATACAATTCGCTACTGTATAAATGGGAACAGATTAAAAACAAGGGAATTCATTACATGAGCATTTTTGACCGCACATTTTGAATGCCTGTCTATAGAAATGGTGACATTATTTTCTTGTGCCCCAGTTCAATTTCTGATCCTGCTGCGAAGCATCAAGTAAGCAAGGATTATGTAGCCTACAGTAATGTTGTATCACCTCGAAAGGGTTTATTTCCTGAGTATGACCACTGTACATGATCCAGTTTATAGGCTACTTAACAAAGAAATAAATACATGGATATGAAATATTGATTTGAGTTTAAATCCTCTGTTTTCCATGATGAGCTAGTTCACCCAAAAATTTAAATTCTGTCATGACAGAATATTCTTTTTTGGGTGAACTAACCCTTTTAACGCTAAATCTGGCAATTAACCAATCAGAATCAAGTATTCCAGAGAGATGTGCAATAATTAATTATAAACCATGTTCCAATTGCAAATGCGGTTTGTAACTTGTCAAGCATGTTTAAAAGCACCTTCTGGTAGGTCCTCAAACTTCTCACATTCACCCCAATTTAAAGGGGTCATATGATGCGATTTCAAGTTTTCCTTTCTCTTTGGAGTGTTACAAGCTGTTCGTGAATAGATAAGATCAGTGAAGTTGCAAAGACTAAAGTCTCAAACCCAAAGAGATATTCTTTATAAAAGTTAAGACTTGTCCACGCCCTCCTAAAACGGCTTGTTTAAACACGCCCCCACATGTCTACATCACTATG